GGGGGGTCAAGTGATAAAGGATGGAGGGAGGGGGGAGAGGGGTGGCAAGAAAAGAACTGATGACTCGACCAGATACATGTACTAACCCTACTGACCTTGGCATTGTGAGCAGGATTCAAGCACGCGCAATTGAAGCACGTGCCACCCTTATATACTCACGGTCAAAGGCCGCCCAGATCTGCCTGGTTCCTGTTCTGTCCCTTCTACGATCGGCTCAGTGACTGAAGAGAGAGAGAGAGAGAGAGAAAGAGAAGAGAGAGAGAGAGAGAGAGAGAGAGAGAGAGAGAGAGAACATCATCACCTCGTGATTCTGATCCGATTGTACGCATACCACATGGACTTGGGACGGCTCGGATGCTCTTAGCGGCGCTAGTCGTAACTGTGGGGAAAATCTGCTAAGTTGATTGATGTATAGACCTTCGGCATATGCTAGGCTGTCCGTTCTCTAGGTAATTCCGGCCAAAGTGTTTATTGATAAGTCTGTTTTGCCCCGCAAGACGCGAGGAAATAATTGAGCGCATATTAATATTATTATTCCCACCCAACTCTCCCCTGACGCAAATCCGTAACCCTCTAATACAAAGAAATATTGTTAAGAAGATTTGAGGACCGTTGAGCGCGAGAGTGTTGACCCAAAGTAGCCAGACCCCGGCTCACGAGCTAGTATTATACTCCCGTGCACATTGACAAACGAATTCAGTCGACGTGCGCATTGACAATCGAATTCAGTCGAGTCGAGTCGCAGATTTTTCCTCCATGAGTTAGCAAAAGCTACCACCATTTTGGCACAACACGATGAATGAATTCGACCAAGTTCGATTGTGACCTTCAAAACCAAACGTGCTCGTTTTTCAAGGTCTCGAGTCGAATCGGTCATATTGTGCCAAAATGCTAGCGTTTGCCCCTACGTGGAGGAAAACCTGTCTGGCCCCGATTCGATTCGACTGAACTCGATTTGTTTTTGCAGTGTGCACGGGCTATAAGACGAACTCTTATAAAATACTGTGATAATATAGGCTCAAAAAGGACAGCTGGAGGGTGCCACTGACAGAGCTGGTCTCCTCATTGTCCCTAGCAGAAGCCATAAGTCTTCTTAATCCTTATTTCTTCTAGGCTAATTCTCTTTACACAATAGTATCCTCTGCAGATGCGTTGGTCAATGTCAGTATTATTATCATTATCATTATCATTATCCTTATCATTATTATCATAAACGTGGCTGTAAAGTGCCCCTATTAGGCACAACTTATGTTCCTTTGCCTTGGTCCCCCATAATTCCGGGCGGTTGCAATCTGAATTACGTCTTTTAGCATTCAAGCATGCGCATATATGTTGTGTCCAAGATAGAAAAAACCCAGCAACAAATAAATTGAAAAGTAAACATTATCTAGTTTCGTCAAAGTGGACACTTGTGACACGTCGGCCTAGAAACCTACATTTTAATTTATTTATATTTTTTAAAAGGCGTCGCTATTTTTCTTTCCCTCTATTGTGTATTGTGTTCAGTCTATCAGCTCTTGCTTTCTCCAAACACTGAGTGGTGCTGGTCGTGCCTATATGCTTCTCTCTTCTCAAAGAAAAAAAAAAAAAAACAAGAAAATCAACCACCCTACTTAACAACTAAACAAACAACATAACATCAACCCCCCCCCTCCCATTTCCATTTTCTAACCAGGAAACAGAACAAAGTGACTGTCAAGTCCTCCAATGTTCCATGAGTCCATGAGTCAGTTTGGATGCATCTAATGCAGGGACTGAGCAGGATGGACAGACAAAAAGAAACAACAGGGTTGAAAGTTGAAACAACGGAGAGGAAAGAAAAGAAGTAGAGCCTGTCAGATGCACTCAGTGACCGCGCAGGTATTTATTTATTTAACATTGCCGCTCCAAACAATACATTGACAAACGATTGTAGAAAACAAGCGACAATCAATTCGACGTATCAATTACTCTGGTGGGTTC